TCTCTCAAGATTAAGACCATAAATAAATAAAATTATTGGGGATCATCAGTGTGGGTTTCGACGTAACAGATCAACTACAGATCAGATCTTTTGCATTCGTCAGATATTGGAAAAAAAAATGGGGGTACAATGAAACAGTACATCAGCTAATCATAGACTTCAAGAAAGCCTATGATTCAGTTAGGAAGGAATTATTTTAAATATTCTGATATAATTTGTGATAACCATGAAACTAGTTAGGTTGATTAAAATGTGTTTAAACGAAACGTATAGTAAAGTCCGCGTAGTTAAAGGTATGTCTGTTAAATTTCCTATCCAGAATGGTCTAAAACAAAGAGATGCTTTCTCTCCACTCGTTTTCAACTTTGCTTCAGAATATGCCATTAGGAAGGCTCAGGAAAAACAGGCGGGACTGATATTAAACGGGACACATCAGCTGTTGGTCTATGCCGATGCGAATCCACTACGGGATAATGTAGATACCATAAAAAAAACACACAAACATTAACTGACGCAAGTATAGAGTTTGGTCTGGAAGTAAATGCAGAGAAAAACAAGTAGATGTTGCTGTCTCGTCACCAAAATGCAGGGCAAAATCATGACATAAAAATAGGAAGCAGATGTTTTGAAAATGTGGCACAGTTCAGATATTTGAGATCGACTTTATGAAATCAAAATATGATTCAGGAGGAAATTAAGAGGAGATTGAACTCGGGTAATGCTCGCTACCATTCAGTCCAGAAACTTCGGTCTTCACGTCTGCTGTCCAAAACATAAAAATTGGAATATACAAAACTATAATTTTGCCTGTGATTCTGTATGAGTGTGAATCTTGGTCTCTGACATTAAGGGAGGAACGCAGACTGAGGGTGTTTGAGAACAGGGTGTTGAGGAGAATATCTGGAACGAAGATAGATTAAATGACTGAAGATTAGAGAAATCTACATAATGAGGAGCTTCATAGCTTGTACTCTTCGCCAAACATAATTAGAATGATCAAGTCAAGGAAGATGAGGTGGGCAGGTCATGTAGCACGAATGGGCGAGAAGAGGAATGAATGCATTTAGAATATTGGTGGGAAAGCCAGAAGGAAAGAGACCACTGGGAAGTAGGTGGGTGGACAATATTAAAATGTATCTTAGAGAGATAGAATGGGATGGTATGGATTGGATTGATCTGGCTCAAAATATGGGCCAGTGGGAGCTCTTGTGAACACGGTAATGAATTTTCGGATTCCATAAAATTTTGGGAAATTCTTGAGTAGCTGCAGAATTGACGTGTCCTGCAGAATGGCCCAGCTCTATGAGTGTGTAAGTAAGGACGTTTCGGATAGTAAATGATTATGAATAGGAGTTCATTACAGGGACCAGCAAAAGCATTTTAGTACCTACATACTCCGTGGTTTGTAGTCCGCAAGCGACCTGTATCGACCGAGCGACCGTCGCTTGTCATCGAAGTTAGTGCAAACTTTTTTGCGGATAGCGGGTGTCACGTGGTCAGCGCAATTGATCCCACGGCCGTTAATCTGGGTTTACTAGACCACTACGAAAAAACACATATATGTAGCAGCCGCCATTATGGAGTAATTCTTCTGGAACCCGAGCCGTGACTTGGACTGTTCCATTGTACGGTAGATATTTCAACTGGACTACACTGTTGCTCTTCATCCAATACTGGATTCTGACTGCCACTCACACCGGCGTGAACTTGTGTTCACACTTTGACATTTCCAGCGCATCTTTCTTCTCACTCTCTTTTGCTGTCTCTTTCTGTTGACCCTGTCGCCGCTTATCAGCTTGCCGTTGCTGTTGGTGATGCTCCACTGAATCCCTTGCGGCAGTGAGTGATTCACTGGGAGAAAATGGGCCATGGCGAGTTCACTGTAGAATAGAAGCGAACTGGGCAATAAAAACATATGTAGCTGTGTAGGCATTGATGGTAGTGCAGTTTCTCTTAATGAAGAGTACAGTTTTATTGAAAATCAGGGCTTGAAAAATTGCATGTCTTAATCACCAGAGTAAGAATTCATAATTACAGACCACGCCGGTTGATAAGATAGGATAAGATAAGATAAATTCTAGATCCCGGTACTTTTGACGTTTTGTTTAGGCTAGATACTAGACTCACATTTATGGGCAACCTGAATATAGCAGTTGGTGCAAACTTGACATGTAACCGAGATTGAAGACACACTCCTATTCATAATTGTTCCGTTTGTTGAATACGCGGCTCGTGGCGTGACGTGGCCTTTTCATGCTACACATCTGTTTATTTATTCATAGTACGCACTTCTATTTATTCCATATTTCTAACAGCAAATATCAGTATTTTGTATAGACCTAGTTAGTTGTTTGTTAAACGACACTTTAAGTGAATTGGATAATGATGTGGTCGGAGACCGTCGTGGCCTGACTTGAGGTGGTCACCTGCATGAGTTTGAGGAACTGAGGAAGATAAAAAAAGATTCTAAGGACACACTGAGATTTTAACCCGTGACCTCCCGAATACGAATGCAGAGTTTTCACCACTCGAGCGCAACGTTCGGTGCCAGAATCAGCTATAAAAGTGTGTACCAAGTTATAAAAGCAACTTCATTGTTATGCTGAATATTTGCTTTGGATAAAAATAGCCAGCTGAGAGCAAATTTCTGTCAGGCTTGTATTCAGAGATGGCGTAGAGCAGGTTGTTATGGCAACGTAAAGCCAAAGGTGTGGGAGGCGCTGATGGATTTGAAGCTTATTCAACGAATGGCTGCTCATGCAAGGCAGGACTGACTTGGCCTGCAGGGGAGCGGGCTGTGGCTTGTGCTCTCTTCCATCCACATACGTTGTTGCTTTACGATGTTCGATGAGCAGTTATTTAAAATGTTATGAAACGGTCTGTAACTTCGTAGGATAGGGTTTGAAAATCAATATTCAGTAACCCTTATCATATGTTCTTGACTGAATTAAAGGAATAGCATACGTACAAGACTTCGTGTCTCTCCGTGAACGGATAAGTTCTTATTGAGGTCACTTATGTATCCCAAGCCCTATTTGTATTAAACAAGTTAAATGTAACGCTAACTTCATGAAATTAATTTTATTTTAAGGAAGTGCAGATAACTTCCTTTAATTCCACCATGTACCCAAAACATGACAAGGAGACCCATTACTTACATGCAGTTAAGGTGCGGCCACACAGAGCGCTACGCTATGTTCGCTACACCGCGTGACCACACAGAAAGCTATGTTTGGTATGAAACTGCTCAGTCTTGAATGAGATGTTGGCCGATAGTGTGCCGTGGGGGGGGGGGTAGCGATATTTCCGACGATGAGCTTTAGCTGTTACTTTCCTTGTGTAAACGGAAAAGGAAGTGGGTGCATGGCGTGAACTTAAGAAGAACCGAGTTTGGTGAATTTCATCATCTGATAAAGCAGTTACGTGAAGATGCAGTTAAAATTTAAAGAATATTTCCGAATGAATGGGGTTGATGAAATTTTAATTTCTTCACTTATAGATAAAAGAACAATGTTTATACATTACCTGGTGTATTCAGTTCTCCAGAAATCATGTTCCAGGCATTATCCCGCATGTTCTGGTTCCGATATTGTTCTAACCCTTTGTTCCACAAACATGGACACTTCCTTACTTCTTCTATTAATTCCTGCAGTGTCATTTTCATCTAAGCGAATGCTGCGCTGAATGATACGTAACACGTGTTGTAATCAGAGTGGGGAAGTACTGAGGCGCGCAGCTGACACCTGGAAGCGAGCCCAGTGCGCATGCTCGTCCAGCGCGACGTTTTAAAAATATAGCCTAGAATCAAACACTCTGCGACGCAGCTAACATAGCGAACATAGCGTACGTAGCGTATGGAAGTCTGTGGCCAGTCACATTGGCAATAAAGGGAGATATTTTTCTGTTCGTATAGCGAACCTAGCTTACGTAGCGTGCGTCGCGTACATAGCGCTCTGTGTGGCCGCACCTTTATTGTGGATTTGAAGCGCAGCAATGCGACAGTAACCTAATTCATAAGGGTCATGGCGATATATTGTTAGAATTCAGCAAGATGCCATCTTGGAAACCAAAATTTCAGCAAGTCAGCTCCGGGGTTTTGTGCCGTGATGTAAGATACGACAGTCTGGCGAGACGTAAGCGCGGTATGTGAAGGCATTGTGTGACGGCAACGTCAGCCTGTTCTTTTTAGAAACGCCGTCTCATGGCAGACCACAACTTACCCAATCGTTCATTTGTGAATAACTGTTAAGTAAGAAACGCATTGAAATACCGTTTCTCTGTAAATAAAAAGAGCTCGCCATTTCTTGAGCTCCGCGTCTCTTAGGGAAGTAAAACAGTTGTAATGGATGTAATAGTTTTTCTACATGTATCACTAGGTAGCAGCACAGTCCAGCTTCATGACAGTCTAGCTGGCAGACGCGCCTGCACCTATTCTGAGGTTGGTTTCAGTAGTCAAAATGACGACCGTGCTTGAAGAGTGTATTACCGAAGAGCAGCATTCTGTTGTACGCTTTTTTGCGAGCAAAAGGACGCAGTGTGAAGGATATTTGTGCAGAAATGTTTCCTGTTTACAGTGGGAAGTGTCTTTCGCGTAAATTGGTTCACAGCTGGTCCGCCAAAAAAAAACCGTCTTGTTGGCAGACGGTTCGCTGATGAGATAAGAGGTAAAAACTGAAATGTGGATGTGGCTGAGACAACAGCCAAAAGACTTCTATATTGCGGGTTTTGACGCACTGGTAAAGCGATGGGACAAGTGTTTCAGTGTTGTTGGAGGCTACGTCGAGAAATGCGTGTTTTTCCAAGTTACAGTATCACATGTTATACGTTTTACATCCATTTGTGACCTGTTTACTGACCCTCCCTCTTGGATGAGGGTCAGCCATTGTTAATTGTGTGATGGTCTTCCAGATAAACATAAGAAAGTTGGTTGTTTTATCTTGTATTGCAAATGTCATTGTTTTCCTTGCTCCTATTTAACCTGTTCGTTTTATTTCTTTCAGTCCCTGGAAAGTACTCGGCGGATGATAGCACTATGCGAGGAGGTAAGTGTCGACGTGTATTTCACTTTTGTGATCTTTTAATCATAATAGATTTACTTGCAGTGCACAACTGAGGTGGACTGAAATCAGATAAGTGTATACGTGTTAATAACACATTTATTAGAAATCACAGGAGTTTAAAGATCAGATAATGTGACGTACCTTGACAGGGGCAGAAATAATTGCTAGAATAATACTTTGATTGAGGTATTGATTGAGTATGCACTAATCACTTTACACAGCTGCTGATAACTTGAGGTTAATTGTCCCATAACTACACCTCAGCTCATCTCACTCGTAATATCTTGGAATTAAGAACATACTCGTACGTGTATTGTGCGGCGTCGTCGTCATCATCATCATCGTCGTCGTCGTCGCCGTCGTCGGTTGTTACTTTTGTTGTGTTGTGGTACTTCAAAATCATACATCATAGAGCTGCAATTATGTTTTAGGGGGTTTAAATTGTGCACCTTTATAACCGCCCTAATGGCCCACAAGCCTAAATGGTATTTTATTGAGAGTTATTCTCAGTATTTTACAATAATTACGCAGAGTGTGACATAGCCCATCTCTTGCACACACGAAGCGGCCTATTTCCCAGATGGACCACACACACACACACAGAGAGACGCCAGATGACCCCCTGGTGATTTAGTTAAGCGTTTCTTGGAATTTTGGTTCCAGAGTCGCTCGGCGACTCACTTTGAAAATTTGACTCTTGACAGTTTCTGCTAGTCTTAAGTCACACGAAGGCGTGCCAGGAGGGGACGCTATGGCCAGCATACATCATTACCTTTCAAAAGTTACGTTAGGTTATTAAAGAAAAAAAAATTGCCTGTAGAGTAGAAATGATTGGAAGTAGCGGATTCAGAGTCAACTCCCTTACTTCAAATCTGACCAATCCTCAAAAGTCGAGGGTGTGACTTGGGAACTTCACGGAAACTGGAGAGGCACACATCTCTTCAGAAAAAGTCTTCAAAAACTCTTCAAACAGTCATAAAAGAGTCTTCAAAAACTCATCAAATAGTCTTCGAATAGTCTTCAAAAAAAAAAAAGTGGTGGTCCAGCTAGGAACAGTTGTAAGTGTTTGGTAGTTCACCTTGCAAAGAAATGCCAGCACCTGGTGAATTGTGTATGTGAACTGTGTTTTGTTTTACGCTTTCTTCACAAAAAAATAATAAAGTGTCCTCACATGCAGAGTTCAAGCAGTGTATCATTAGACGCTTCTGCCTCCCTGTCTGAGCGAGGCCAGTATAAAGATCCTGAGACAGTCTCATCTGTATCTTCTGAGGTAAAGAAAATTCACCTGTGTTCCTTTGGCAAAGAAGCATCAGCAACAGCCGCTGCAGGTGGAAGCCAGGTGAAGGAACAGGAAGGTAAAGGGGTACGGCGACAACAAGAAGGTGACACCCAACGTAAAGGGCACTACAGAGAGCGGTTAGACCTTATTGGAGGGACATCATTTTTCTGAGGCGTTATTCACGATGCGTTCATAACGGTTTCATTGTGTGCTGCTGGCCGATCAAAGTGGCCGCGTGGTCTAAGACATGTACTGTCTTCACTCGCTCGAGCGCTGGGATCATGGATTAGATTCCCACAGGCATGCATGTTTGTATTTTATGTGTATATTCGGTGTTTATGTTCTGTATGCAGGTAGCGGCCTTGCGACGGGCTGAACCCCCGGTCTGAGGAGTCCTACCGACTGTGTGTAGGACCAAAAACTGAAAAAGCTGCCAAGGCCCAAGAAAAGGCTGTGGAGCAATAATAATAATAATTATCTGCCGTTCACTCTTCAGCAGTTCCAGTCATAATTATTAGAGACTTAAATATACTCTCTGCTTCGTTTTCATGCAAAAACTCGTACACATGTGTATCGCTTCTTTAATTGGCTCGTGTGACTGTTTAATTGGTGTGTTAAAAGTAAGGAATTGAATTATAAAATTTGCAGTCTTATGCTATAGCAGATTTTTTATTGGCAAATGTGATGATAAATTTGAAGACATTAGTTACGTTTGTTCTATCTAGGCTACAGGACCTTTATGCACTGCTTCTTACTGTTAGTTGGTTATTTAGCGACGTTGTCACTATCGAGACAAATAGTGTCACACGATAGGATGATTGCTGAATTGGAAGGGATTCAGAAGGAAGCGGGCGTGTTTTTATTGAGATACTGTCCCGACCTTTGGCTGGATGGACTGAGGAAGACCACGAAAAACTCAGGATAGGTAACCCGGTGTTGATTCGAACCGAGAATCTCCCGAATAGAAGTCTTGACCTTTAGCTGGTCCTATTTCTTCTAGTTCCTTTAAACAAATTTACCTTCTCTTCCGTTCTGTTATTTTATGGATACCTACTGATTGAGTCAACAACCCTTCTGCCTTTGATGTTCACCATAGCGTTCCTTATTAAACATTCCAATAGTGTAAGTCATTTAATGTACATATAAGGTCTGTTTTTTGCAGACTCGAATCTTTATTTAGTTGATTGATCACTGTTATCGGATCTCCGTATAGTATTTGTTAATAGTTTTAACAATCATCTTATTAATGCATAACTTTCTGTTGCCTCAGTTGCGGGTGGATTTTTTATAGAAATGGAGACATTAATTATATATAGTTTTAATATTCGTGGTTGTCTTTAGTTGGTCATATTGCTTTTGTCAGGTACGAATAAGTTATTGGGAACTGTTATTCATTTTGATGGATGAGGCTGTTATGTCTGTTCCGATTCAGATTTAGTTTTGAAGCTATTTAGATATTTGGTAGGACCCCTGCGGCATAAGTACGCCCCACCGCACGGCCTATAACTGTACAAGACTGCACAACACAAACAATCGCTGACGAGTGAGATTCGAATTCTTAATCCCAGTTGTCCAAGACTGTACTGCCATGCGAACAGCAGGGCGCATTGTAAAATGTGTAAAATGTTGAATAGTTAGCATTTTTATCATTGTGGAAGGTGGGACAATTAGTCGAGACTCGGTAATGTAGTCGCTTTTTATAGATACATAGGCAATCAGTTGCATGGATATATTTAATTTGCTAGTAATATGGCCTGCTTAAGATTAGACTGATACTAAGTTCGCTCAGTTTAGTCTTTGCATCTGTTTTATGTCGTATTGCTTTCGAACTGGTGTTGTTCAGGAGAAGGTGGGACACCCCAAGTTTTAACATTTAAAAATTGACCCACCACAATTCTATTTCTCCTCGACAGCACATATTTTCTCAAAAGTAATGGGACATCTGGCACGATTGTGGTTAACAGCAGCACCTTATGTGTTATAGCAAGTGTCACGTAACTTCAAACAAGGCCAAGAGCGCCAAGAGTAACCTTGAATGCGCAGAAAATATCACACAAGGGGGTGTGTTGCGGGATTGCGGGGAATGCGTGGCCTTGTTCGAAGTTACATGACACTTTCTCTATTTTCGGATATGGTCAAGTTTGTATAGTAAAGGGTGCAAAATATCCCATGTTCTCTTATGTTTTACTTATGAACAAATTTGTAAAGAATAGAAATGTTCAGCTTTGTAAGTGCTTTTCAGGAAAAGAAAATTACAGGTTCAAAACGTTTCATTCGGCGAACCTAGTGTGAGTACTTCCGGTTGGACCTTTACGTTGGGCGCCACTTGTTGCTGTTGTTTGTTGGGGCTTCGCGTAATCACCGCGTTAGCCGTCCTGCACCTTTGTAGTTGATGGGGCGCCGTTACGTGGTCTGGGAGGCACGTCGAGGTTTTTGGAGTAGGAAGAGGACAGTGTCCTGGTTTTGAGCTCAGATTCTTTTCAGGGCTTAGTGGACTGAAGAAGTCTCTGAACCACACTTAGATTTGATGCAGTGTTACACTTCCTTTATTGACAACACTACGCAGTTACAAGCAGGAGTCACATTCAATTAACAGTTGCACTTTTGGCACTCCTTGTACACTATTTCAAGATCCATAACACTACGTTACAGTACTGTATATGTACGTCAATCTCCCAAACTGGTGTTTCACCGAATCTACATGTCCACTCTCTGATTGTCCAACTGATCGGCCAGTGTCCTAATTGTCTGTCACTCGTCTGTTACTTATCCATTACTTGTCTGTCTTCGCCATCCCGGATCAATTCTTTTAAATACTGTGAGATGACGTAACATCCAGAACCTTCTCTTTTTTATCAGACTGGCAGTGGGATGAGTAATCATTAACATACCACGCCGACTATTATAGAACCTTCTGGTAGGCTTACTGCGAATTCTTAGAACAAACTGGGCATAAGTTACATTTAGTATAAAATTGGTATTAAGTAACAAATATTAATTTCTGAAATTTACGCCGGTAAGCAGTGATCGGTTACACGAGTAAGTATGTGTCTCAGAGTTTGCATTTGCCATGCGGTGACACGCTAAACATAAAGTCGTACAGGAAAGTGGTGAAAGGAAGCGCGTTCCATTTCGCGAACCTTCCAGAATTTAGGCACTTTCCGCGTTAAGTACTAAAAAATATGTGCGACAGAAATTATACCAAACCATGAATCAGAGGGAAACTTGAAAGGAAACAAACACGGAAATTCCCATTTTGGAGAAATTGAAACTTGTCTAATTTAAAATCATAGTCTCGGTGTGCAGAGAAACGTGTGAGCTGATACTGAACGCAGAGCATATCTCGAATTTCCAATTTCAGGTAACGTGGTAGTTATGATTGAATGCAGGAAAATGCTGCATTGAGAGACTGCTGCTCATGGGGGACATTGCCATGCTGTGCAAGTGTAGTACGGTCGTTGTGGTCAGATGTCATCAGTGTACATCTCAAAACCTGAGATCTTCAAGTGAAAAAAAAATTAAAGTTGAAAAACCCCATTCGTTGATGAATGAAATTGCGGTGCGTGAGAAGAATATTGTGTTACACCCAGTGGCGTGCGGTACTATTTTGGGTAAGGGAAGCGGTGGTATCTAATAAACGAACTGATAGCAATCAACTCACAAATTTATTTGAAGAACAAATCTATTCTCCGGTCCTTAGCAG